TTACCCGATGTTGTCACTTTGTTTGCTTTTGATTGGAGAGTAGTTGAATGGTTTTGCGTTGCCAGGTTTGGACTTCATGGCGTTTTTGTTTCAACCAGCACCTACTTGGTGTGCGCCCTGAATGTCTGCAAACTTTTTAGCTTAAAGTTCCCCTTGCGAAGTAGGCTTTGGACTAAAACATTTGCGAACTATATGGCGATAGCGATCTGGACTTTCTGTTTCGTTGCCTCCGGTGCGATTACCGCTATTGCAATGAAGTTTGAAGAAATGATCTTCGACTTCAGACTTAACATGTGCATGTACAAAGTAACCACCGACCCAATGAAGCTTGTGGGTATAATCCAGACCATGCTCCAATGGACAATCCCTAACATAGTGGTCCTATCTTCGTCAATATGGATCCTGGTGATAGCTAAACGTAAAGCTCGACTGGTGAAGCGGTGGCGTTGGAGAAGTGTCCTGACTATTTTGCTGATTGCGGCAGTCTATTGTGTGTCGTATTTGCCGTTGAGCACCTGGTTCACCATAGTCAATTTTGTGTTGGTAAAAGGAAAAGCTATGGTTGAGACCGTTAATAAAGCTGACGAAACAGTCTTGGTGTACGTAGAATATGACATGAAAGGAGATCCCCTATCAAATTTCGGTTACTCTACGCTCTTTCTTCTCCTCTGCATGCTCACATACTTGAGCAGTGTGGCAAACATTTTCATTTACTATGTGTCCATGAGCAGTTTCCAGAATGCCATGAACGGGTTTCTTCGGATAAAGGCGAAAAGGAACCAATCTCTTAACTCATCAACGACCAAGAAGAGTGACAGTTTAATAAGAGTAGTAAACCATAATCCTTGTGTGGCGGCAAGTTTGTAAATACTCATGTTCGTGTTCCCTGTTTATGTATTACTTAAACAATCAACAATCAATCCATCCAATGAACCGATCGTACACTTCCTCAGTGGATTCCTCAGATAATCTGCGAGAAAAATTTTAATTTTGGAGGAAATTAGGTGGCAAAGAGGACATTTTTTGAAGACCTGACCTTTTTTAAGAGCAAAAGACAATTTGGGGGGGGGGGGGGGGAATTGATCTGTGAGGAAATTTAAAACTTACTGGATGTTTGATCATGACTCTAGTTACTATTTATAGCTAACACGCTAAACTCAAGTAGGTTACAAAGGCAGTAAATAAGATGATCCCAGGAAACAACGAGACCCTATTTGGAGATTGGAGCGCTCTGAAGCGAGGAGGTGCCACAACATGGGGAGTGGTGACCCTGCTGCTGTCTCTCGCTGGAAACTCCATCATCCTTCTAGCTTCCATCCGGCACAAGGCTGTGCAACAAAGCAAGATGACTGTAACTTTAATAGAGCATGTGGCGGGATCGGACTTGGGAATAGCTATTTTAGGTATTTTACCAGACGTTGTCACCATGTTTGCTTTTGATTGGAGAGTAGTCGAATGGTTTTGTGTTGCCAGGTTTGGCCTTCACAGCGTTTTTGTCTCAACCAGCACCTACTTGGTTTGCGCCCTGAATGTCTGCAAACTTTTTAGCTTAAAGTTCCCCTTGCGAAGTAGGCTTTGGACTAAAACATTTGCGAACTATATGGCGATAGCGATCTGGACTTTCTGTCTCGTTGCCTCCGGTGCGATTACCGCTATTGCAATGAAGTTTGAAGAAATGATCTTCGACTACAGACTAAACATGTGCATGTACAAAGTAACCACCGACCCCATGAAGCTTGTGGGTATAATCCAGACCATGCTCCAATGGACAATCCCTAACATAGTGGTCCTATTTTCGTCAATATGGATCCTGGTGATAGCTAAACGTAAAGCTCGAATGGTGAAGCGGTGGCGTTGGAGAAGTGTCTTGACTATTTTGCTGATTGCGGCCGTCTATTGTGTGTCGTATTTGCCGTTGAGCACCTGGTTCACCATAGTCAATTTTGTGTTGGTAAAACGAAAAGCTATGATTGAGACCGTGAATAAAGCTGACGAAACAATCTTGGTGTACGTAGAATATGACATGAAAGGAGATCCCCTATCAAATTTCGGTTACTCTACGCTCTTTCTTCTCCTCTGCATGCTCACATACTTGAGCAGTGTGGCAAACATTTTCATTTACTATGTGTCCATGAGCAGTTTTGAGAATGCCATTAAAGGGTTCCTTCGGCTAGAGGTGAAAAGGGACCAGTCTCTTAACTCATCAATGACCTTGAAGAGTGACAGTTTAAGGAAAGTTGTAAACCATAATCCATGTGTGGCGGTAAGTTTGTAATTACTCATTTTCATGTTCACTGTTTATGTATTAATTGAATTAATCCATCCAATCGTACACTTATCTTCCTCAGTCGATCGAACATTGATTGACGGATAGTATCTGCCATCTAGCTACAAACTATGTTCTTTTAAGGATTAGAAGGTATGTTCCTCGTGCTATCGCTTTAATTGTCAGTCTTTAAACCGATCGCTAAAGAACATTGATTGATAAGCATGATAAGAAGATTTAATCGAACGTATCTATCGGCTGGTAAAAAGCGCGCCAAACTTTATGTTACAGTAAATGCGCGGGCTAGATACTTTATTCATGATTTTGCGAACCAAACTAGCGGTAACAAATAGTTTTGGTTGCGCTCCATGTAGGGTAGGAGAATTTGTGATAAGAGAGAAGGTGTAGGCCGAAGGTTTTTAACAATGTTAAAATAAACATGCTCTCTTGCTATTTTGGTTCATTAGGTTATCAGTGATTTTATCGAATCTTTGATAATTATTCTATACAATTGTTAGTTTTCACTCTTACGAGAGGGTCGAATGTCACGGTCGATCATTATTTTGATAAGGGAGACAAATGAAAGTCTCAAATTCAATCAAGTGAAGACTCTCGTGCTTCGTCTTATCAAAAATGGTGGTTTCAATCCCAAGAAATTTAATGATAGAGTCATGATTTTGCTCTGGCCATTGATCTTTCGTTCTTTCTTCAGAAAATTAAAGGATTACCAAGTTAAGTAAGAGCAGCAGAAAACCAATGCCGACAGAGATTTTTTAAGAAACCGAAAAACACCAAGAAAGAAACCAATGCTGAAGTCAGGATTTCTGCGGCTCACTCGTCCCCAAAACTCAAACAGTACACGGTGATAAAGAAGGTAAATTGTCAGTTCCAATCAAAGACCTGAGTCAAAACCCAACGATTATCACATCCAACTCATCCAAATTGCACCATCAAACAAGATCTCTTATCATCTCCGATGTACTGCACTTTCTCAATACTTATGTAGTCAAACTGGATCAGGTTGATTAGAATCTTACAGAATGAGTTATCCAACTTTACAAAATCCCACCCATCTCGCAATTTTGCAAATTTAGTTCGGTCGATATCAAAGTTCAAACTACAATTTTTCACATTTCTGGTAGTTGAAATAGATAACTTTAGAAATGTTCCGGAAAATAACTGCGTTCTCTGCAGTTATAGAAATATTCCACAGTTTCGATACACATTTTCTTTTAATTCCATATGATTCAGTCAATGGAGTGAAATGTAAACTTGATGTAATTTTTTTAAATTGTTATTTTATTGAAAATTGTTTATTATTTGACATTACATTGTTGAATGTTAATTTGTTTTGACTTAATAAATTAATATTGTGAACATTAATTTTTGAACATTTGTTGATAATACTCGAATGAAAATATCAACTAGTTATCAAAGTTGTTTCGTTTTAACCAAGTTTATCGACTATAAATTAGTCATTGAATAAGGTTCTCGTTGGGAGACGATTTCTTTAATATGTAAATGCAAAGCTTGGAAAATGAATACAAATGTTCAAAGGCACATTTAAGGCCGCCCCACTTTAAAGCACAGAAAATTACACTGAGCTGATAAGCTGAGCTATACACTCGATGTAACTTTACACACGCTTGTTTATATCACATTTAAAAACTCAAATCAGTGCTGCACCTAGTTGAGGTTTGCACCTTATAGGCTGGGTATTCTCCGGTATTCTCAAAGCAGATTTGGCGGGAATTAATGAATTATCACAGGCGCTGTGTATGGTGAAGTTCTGGGCCAAGTTATGTAATGGACGTAGGTCGTACATAATATTACAGATAAGACTATACATAATATTACAGATAAGAATATACGTTATTACTAAATTCAGGTAATATAGATAACTGTTATAGTGACAGTGCGATTATATCTTGAAGATGACATTTGAAAGTATAAAATGTGTAAACTTTGAAAGGTAAATATCTAAATAAGCCTGGTAGTCACTAGGGTGGATATCAAAGTGAAACTAACTTGGTCGTCACTAGAGTGGACATCAAAGTTAAACTAACCTGGTCGTCACTAGGGTGGACATCAAAGTGAAACTAACCTGGTCGTCACTAGAGCACTAGGGTGGACATCAAAGTTAAACTAACCTGGTCGTCACTAGGGTGGATATCAAAGTGAAACTAACCTGGTCGTCACTAGGGTGGATATCAAAGTGAAACTAACCTGGTCGTCACTAGGGTGGATATCAAAGTGAAATTAACCTGGTCATCACTAGAGTGGATATCAAAATGAAACTAACCTGGTCGTCACTAGGGTGGACATCAAAGTGAAACTAACCTGGTCGTAACTAGGGTGGACATCAAAGTGAAACTAACCTGGTCGTCACTAGAGTGGACATCAAAGTTAAACTAACCTGGTCGTCACTAGGGTGGACATCAAAGTGAAACTAACCTGGTCGTCACTAGGGTGGATATCAAAGTGAAACTAACCTGGTCGTCACTAGGGTGGATACTGGATACTAATTGAAAACTAACCTGGTCGTCACTAGGGTGGACATCAAAGTGAAACTAATCTGGTCGTCACTAGGGTGGATATCAAAGTGAAACTAACCTGGTCGTCACTAGGGTGGATACTGGATACCAATGTAAAACTAACCTGGTCGTCACTAGGGTGGATATCAAAGTGAAACTTACCTGGTCGTCACTAGGGTGGATATCAATGTAAAACTAACCGGGTTGTCACTAGGGTAGGGAGGGGTGATTGGAGCTCGAGGAGTGAGCAGAGGAGCAGTTCTAGGTGAAGGGTTGCAGTACAGCTTACTCCTCAACATGCTGTCAGCGTGCAGATTCTGTTCTGCTAGAGCTACTGTATCCTGTAAATTATAGATACACTACATCGGTAAATTGCAAAATTATTGCTCATGTTAGCCGTAACATGAATAACAGAATAATGGGGTTGCTTTCAGTGGCCGCCAGCGCAGGGGGAGGGTTAAGGGCATAATTTATAATTAGTCTTTCATAAGTTGAGAAATTGTATTTCATGATTTAAAACAGGAAAACATGCACAATTAAGATGACAGACATACCTTGGCATGTTGGACTTGACAATTGGTAAGGATCTTAGAGTGCTTCAAAGCGAGCTGAGTGCCAGTGAAGATAAACCTCGTTATCTGACTTTCTGTACCATCTGAAACAGCAAGATCATTTGAAGGACAGGTTATTGGACGAATTTGTTTTGGAAAATGTTGGAAACTCTCCAGAAAATACAATGTACGTGTTTGAAAAGTAAACCTGGGTTCAGAGGATTATCCAGTCTAACTCTGACACAACCACTTTCGTCTACAATCTTCTGTATCGTCTGTCCTTTTCTTCCGATGATGCGAGCTGAAAGTATTCAATAAAAACCAATACAATATAATAGATATACAAAGAGGCAAAGCGAAGGTCAAAATTAGTTTTTAATCAAGAGCTACCTGCTACAATTGTTAATTTTACGAGAATGTCAACGTTAACAAGTTAATGTAGATTTTAGTAGATGTAGACTTTAGAATTCGGAAATATAGTTAAACTAAATATACAGATTAAACGGTCAACAAAAAAGTAAACTGACATGCAATATCCCGCTCCACTTCGATAATCAGCTCGCTGTACTCCAACTTGTTCCGGGCTTGTTGAACAGCCTCCTTAGTCTCCCCAACTATTCTGAAAGGAGACGTGAGGTTAGTGATACAGTGTTCAATGGTTGCAGGTGGGGAAGCGCCACTTTCTACAGGTAAGCTTTTTTATTAGTCCAAACGAATTGGCCCCTTAGTAAATCATAAAGTATCCGTGCCTTAGATTGTATAAATATGCACATTGCACATATTATGATGAAGATAGGTGCGATCTGTGATGATTATAATTTATCAACTATATTAATGATACTGCTAAACAACCTTGATCGCGAGCTAGCTCTTTTGTGATATAAATATAGATACCTGTTTTTCATTGAAGTGAAGTTAAGTAAAAAGTTTGCTTCTACTTCTAGCAAAAATGTATAAAATAACGCAAAGAGAAGTTAAGGGATATTATTTTAGTAAAGAGACATAAAAAGTACTTGAAATGACAGGCTTCCTCCTCCAGATCCAGAGCAATGATGCCGGGAATTCTCCGACACTCGTTGATATTCTTGCCACGTGCTCCGATAGCTAACCCCATGAAGTTTGGATGAATCTTGAATTCTTCTCGATATTGCTGAAATGACATCGACATGCTAGTGAGTATGAGACGTTGGATGTTTTCAAGTACCGCTGTGTACGTTTAGGCTCAATTTATTAACACAAAACTTACCCAATTGATCATCAGATTGAAGAAGCAACGAATGCAATTACTATTTGCGTGTAATGAAATGAGTAAACCTGAAGGGCACGAATAATACACGCCTTAACGTACATTTTACTGCCCCTCATTCGTGTCAATACTAGCAATAAAAATAATCTATGCAGTAATAAACAACGTTCGCTTAATGGACTGACATATTTCAGCATATTTTTCACTGCCAAAGCGCTGATAACAGCAAGCCTTACCCCACTCCGCGCGGCTTTTTAATGCACTAAATCTTAAAGATAATTCTCGCGATAAAATTTTCATCGTCACGCTTGAAAATTTCTAGAAATTAGAATAGCCGTATATTATAACAAACTATAACAAGCAGAATTAAAAGATAAAAGGTTCTGGGACTTGAGTGGTACAAATAAAATGAAAGGCATGCTAATCATGCTCACGTACTGTAATGTGTCGAGAGTTTTTTTTTTTTTTTTAATTTTTACTATTTGACAAAATAATTGATCTTTGTAGTGTGAGTGTGATTTCAACTTTGAGTTTGAAAATATTTTGAAACGACTTTCGATATTATTGATTATTATATTTAATAAACTGTCTCAAAGGCCTTAGAGGTGGCTCTATACGGGTCTTTACAACAACAACAATCTATTTCTAAAGATAATGTGAATGAAAGATGAGAAGGGGGAGGGGGAGCGAGGGCCGGGGGGAGGGGGTATGACTGCTGATGAACGCAGAAACCCCCATGCTAACCGTTTGTGGATTAGTGGTTGATGCGGATGATGTGTTTTGTGATAATTGAGATCTGTAGTTGAATTTATCATCGGTATTCTCCTCTGAAGCCGGTGTGTCCTGAATTTTGATTTTACCGTGAAGAGTTGCGATTTCCCACGTGTGTAATCGTGAATGTCACAAAATGATTAAAAAATAATGGAAGTGATAAAGTGGTTAAATGAATAAAAAGCTAGAAATAATAACAGATTTCTGATTTCAGAAAAAACGGCGATTTAAGGGGCACCCTCACAATTTAAGTAAGTAAAATTTGTTTGAGTACCTGTAATCTATCAGCATAGCGTTTCTTCCGTAAGAGCTGGTCCACTTTTTTCTCGAGAAGGGACAACTGATATTCGAAGCACGCAGAAACGTCTTTATAACATTCGTGGTGTGGAGTCTGATGGGAAATTTGACTGCCATAAAACATTTACAACGCTAACTTGCAAAAATTTACAAAATACTTAATACTTATCTTAGAATTTATGGACACGTTCATTGAAGTTTGAGGAAATTGGTAAATTTCTAAAACAGCGTTTTTGACGATAGTAGTTTAATTTCAACATATATTAATCTAGCGTGTTCATAAGTTCTGAACATTAGCCACGTGACCCATACTCCCATATACACTGCTCAAAAATTAAATGTATTGCTTTTAGGCACTATTATGTAAAAAATGTCACATTTTTGTGGCATTGTTTACCATAGCTGCCCAATTAGCATTTTTTGGTCTAAAATATAGTAGATTAGGTCAATCTAACAATTATGATACAATGTAGGCCTAAAGGGCAGTGATCGAACGGCTTTAAGGCAACATTTCGTAAACTTTGTCACACTTAGAATATGAGACCTCTTTTCTACTGTGAGGTGTCCTCAAAACCCTTTCAACTCATTATTTGATAGTTCTTCTGCCAATCATAGCCCTAAAATATGTTGTTTTGAAAAGTTAACTAATACATGCACTGCACTTGGCTATTGGGAAATGATGTAAATTCTGTCACATTATATGGAATTTGAAATTCTGGGCGAATTTCCGAAATCATTTATATCTGATTTTGGTTTGGAAGGCGGGAAAACTCTATATGAGGACGATACACGGATACAGTTGATTGACGTATAGGGCAGTTGATGTAAACATCGTCACAAAATGATACGAAATCGTAAATGGACACGTTCATGTTGAAGTTTAAGGACATTGGTAAACCAACAAAAATAGCGTGTTCAGAAGTTCTGGACATTAGCCACGTGACCCATACTTCCATATACACGGCTCAGAAATACAATTTATTGTTTTTAGGCACTATAATGTAAAAAATGTCACATTTTTGTGACTGTGTTAACCATAGCTGCCCAATTAGCATTTTTTGGTTTAAAATACAGTAGATTAGGTCATTCTAACAATTATGATACAACATTTGGCTAAAGGGCAGGGATCGAACGGTTTTAAGGCAATATTTCGTAAACTTTGTCACACTCAGAATGTAACGATACCTCTTTTCTACTGTGAGGTGTTCTCAAAACCCTTTCAACTCATTATTTGATGGTTCTTCTACCAATCATAGCCCTAAAATATGTTGTTTTGAAAAGTTAGCAAATACATACACTTATTGGGAAATGATGTAAATTCTGTCACATTATAATGGAATTTAAAATTTTGGGTGAATTGCCGAAATCATTTATATCTGATTTTGGTTTGGAAGGCGGGAAAACTGTATATAAGGACGATGCACGGATAGAGCTGATTCAAGTTAAGGGCAGTTGATGTAAAAATTGTCACAATAATAATAAGGGCAGTTGATATGAAAGAAAATCTATCTAACTAATGCAATGGCTGATGTGACGAAATTTACATTTCTTGACCCTATTTTGAAGAAACATGCCTCGATTAGAATTCAATATTCTTCCAGGAATTATTAGTAGGTTATTATTCAGCAAATCAGAACTCAAGTTTAACAATTCTGAGTTTAATTTTACTAAGTTACCGAAATGTGACGAAATTCACTTTTCCTGCCCCAACAGTATAATTTCAATGTGATGATAAATAGGCATGGGTTTCTATATTTCCTTATATCTGAATTAATCATTTCAAACTATAATTAGGACTGTTGATGTGAAAGAAAGTGTATCTAAATTTTACAATGACGTATGTGACAAAATTTACATTTCTTAACCCTATTTTGAAGAACCATACCCCGATTAGAATTCAATATTCCCCCAGGAATTATCAGTAGGTTATTATTCAGCAGATCATCAGAACTCAAGTTTGACAATTCTGAGTTTAATTATACTAAGTTACCGAAATGTGACGAAATTCACTTATCCTGCCCCAAAAGTATAATTTCAATGTGATGAAAAATGGGCATGGGTTTTTATATTTCCTTTATCTCTGAATTAATCATTTCAAACTATAATTAGGACTGTTGATGTCAAAGAAAATGTATCTAAATTTTACAATGACGTATGTGACGAAATTTACATTTCTTGACCCTATTTTGAAGAACCATACCCCGATTAGAATGCAATATTCTTCCAGGAATTATTGGTAGGTTATTTTTCAGCAAATCAGAACTCAAGTTTAACAATGCTGAGTTTGATATCACTAATTTACCGAAATGTGACGAAATTTACTTTTCCTGCCCCAACAGTATATTTTCAATGCAATGAAAAATGGGCATGGGTTTCTATATTTCCTGTATAAATCCATTCCAACTATAATAAGGGCAGTTGATATGAAAGAAAATCTATCTAACTAATGCAATGGCTGATGTGACGAAATTTACATTTCTTGCCCCTATTTTGAAGAATCATACCTCAATTAGTATATAATGTTACTTTATCACCATCACTATGTCGATAAATTAATTATTTTGCCAACACGGAGCAAATAAAGTTATAATATTTTTTGTGTGACGAAATTTACAAATTTTTACCCTGTTCAGGTGTTGAAATTTATCCAATGTTAACATATCACTGCCATATAATAATTTATATGACCGGCGTATGGTTGAAATATTGTTAATTGATCCATAGTACGTAATATAGGGTGTTTAAGTTGGTATACTAATATTTACTCAATTTCACACATGTTGAGATATCATACAAATTTATGTGACTAAATTTACCTATTTCTGCCTTCTGTATTTGTATTTGCCAGATAACAATGAAATATGTGAACAATTCCAAACACATTCAGCTCACAAAATAATGCTAGACTATTCGGCATTACTTGTCAGGATGTCATAAACATCCCTCATATAAATGTCTTAAATGTGTGACGGAGTTTACATGGTGCTACCATTTAAGGAAAAAAGTCGCTAAATATGTAGATAATAGTCATATACAGCTATTCTATGAATTGGAAATTCGAAAATTTGGTCAAACACGGCAACAAGGGGTCCATATAAACTCCGTCACGGTTTTATAGTGTGACAAAGTTTACAACTCACTGCCGGCCGCATTTAAGCGATATCTTATCGTCTGATAAAGATATCGTTATGCGACAAAGTTTATCTAGAGGATGAAACGATTATCTTAGGGTTAGAGGGTTTATATAGTTTCATAGTGTGACACATTTTACATCATCGTGCCATTCAGTAGGGTCACTAATATTTACCAATATCCTCAAACTTCAATGAACGTGTCCTTATAATTTAACAGCAAAGGACACCAAGGGCATTGGATAAGAAGTTTAAATCGGCTCTTAGTTACTTTCTTTGGTGCTTTAACGGCTCTGATGTCAAATCTTTGCAGAAAAGCAACCGAATTGAAGCCATAGAAATCCTAATAAAGTTGGTGTAAAGTAAGGCAGTTCACAAATCAATGCCATCTTGATTGTGGTGATAAGATATATTATACTGAAAAGGTTTGTGGTTTTATAGACTTACCAATACAACAATCTGGTTGGTGTCCTTGTCATATCTGATGAGACTAGCTCCAGTGTCCTCCTTGAAGTGTGAGAAAGCAGCCTCGTCCAGAACTCCCGGAATGTCAGCACATTCCCTCATTTTATCGGGAACATCAACCGCGTATTTAAAGAACATCGCTTCGTGGATAAACTTGCTGAGGATTGTTAAATTATGATGATTTGCAATAATTTGAAAATTTATATCAGAAACGCGATTATTAGAAAAATTGCTCAACCAGAACAAGCGGACCGATCGTTACTCGGGGGCTGGACAAAGAAATTAAAAGCGATTGATGAACATTGCTGAGGCTAACCTCTGAGTCAAAGGTCGAATCCTATCACGTCCCACTAGGTCGCCGGCATAGTTACTTTGAGAGTTGTTGGTCGGGGAGTAGACTATGGAGAATGTGTTTCTGTCACCACTGATCAAGTTTATGGTAGCTGGCCACCAGCAGCTTGGGTTTGTGTTACTTTTCACTTCAACTTCTTCGTTCAGCGTATAGTTGTAGTTTATGGAATAATCTGGAAGCTTTCGGATCCTCAAAAATGGTATCCGTGTGTCTGGCTTCCACCTGATAAAATGATTCATGAAATATTCGGATCTAAGAGTTGAATAGAAAGAAAGAACGTGTGAAGCTGGTGTAAATGTTCGTAAGAATTTCTCAAACCGCGAATAGTACCATTCAGGTAAGACTTACCCATTTTCGAAGGTACATAGCGCATTGGATTTGAACACATCTATCACCCAAGCCTGAGAAACAATGGTGTCAAATCGCATTGCAATACTATTATCGGTGATCGATAAAACACTTTAAACTTTACGTCAGAACTCAAGAGCTACGGCCTTCAAGTTACTATCTAAGTAAGATAACGATTAGCAGGTAAGTAGCACGGGATAAACAAAAAATCATGGCCTGCCATCTCCAGAATTAAAACGATACCTCTGAGTCCACTATTCAGACTACAAAACGAAAATTGACCGAGAAGCAAGAAACGAACCTTGAACCAAGCGTTGTTGCTGCCGTAGACTTCGACCATTAAGTCGTCAGAAATAGTGTTTACGTGGGTGTTGGGCATGGTTGGGTTTGGTTTTTGCATGGTTGACTCAGTTGAACTTAACATAGGAAGTGATTACAAGATACAGTTCACTGATAAGCTCACAATTCCCGCCTTTAAGATTCACTCCGCAAACGTTTCTAACGATACAAATAACGATTGATTTCAAACGCGCGCGCGCGATATTCATATTATAATAAGTATTTAAAACGTTCATTAAAAAACATAAGTACATTGTAATTTTTGTCTACATCAGTAAAGTAAGTAAAGGAAAGTTCAATTTTTTATGGCTGCTAAAATAAAATGTAAAGTAATGGTTAAGTTTAATATACTGAATGAACAAACTAAACATTAAAAATGGCTGCTTAGTTAAAAATTCGAGCAATAGATAATCCAATATTGTATATTACATATCAAAAACCAATATTTTTGAAAATAGCTACATGTACAAATTGTTTTCATTCTAATATATGACTTTTGTGAAAATTATAAGAACAAATAAATTTAAAAGTTTTCTCAAATGTAAAGTTAAAAGTATGACAATGCGCGGCGCGAAGATAAAAGAAGCATGTTTATTATTTGTTATTGACTATGCCAACCCTTCCCATTTCGAATCGTTGCTCTGCTCTGCACTTCGCAGAGCAACGATCTAGTCGTAGATGCAAAGTAAGAATACTAGTTTGCGCGGCGTGTCGAAGTGGCAAAGTCCTCCAAAATATGTTTACAAAGCAACATCAAATATATTTTAACAGTTTCAAAATGTAATTGCTCGTATTATCGATTGCGGTATATTGATCTGTCCTGTGTCCTTTCGATGGTTTACGGGTAATACTCAAATATGATGATGATAAACTGTACTGATAACCAATGCAATGACAGAGCGTTCAAATTTGAAATGATTCTCGTATTATATAATTAATAATGCTTCGCAAGATTGTAGCATGCATTGTTTGCTGACGTATTGATTGCTGACGAGTTGATACACGTTGCGTTGTATACAAGTAAAATACAACTTTAAGTAAAACACAATTTTTATTTTCCACAGAAGAATCAATACATATTGAATTATAAATATCCGATAATTCCATTAATAATCATTAAAAGTTGCTTTGTCATTTGTAAAATCAAAAACGAAAAGCCGTACGCTGAACTGTGAACGCGCGCGGCGCCTTTTCTGCAGCTGCCTAGCTTCAAGCTTGTGGCCGCTAACATCAAAGCCGCCGCGCGCGCCCAGTGCTGGGGTGCATTCTCATTAACAATTAAACTTGGTCAAAGATAGTTATATACAATTCCTAAATTAAATCAATAATCATGTTAATATGAGTATTCAACACTACTCGACAAAAATATGGGTTTGCCCAGACTGTCTCCAAGCCTACCAGGGTAACTGACCACAGTGCAACGCTTATTGATCACGTGTATACTAATCACGTGACCAACGTTATTAGTTGTAATGTCGTGACGTTGGATATGTCAGATCATCTCGGATCGCGGTTAGCACGACCATTAGTTTAGGAGCCACACCTAGTTTGAACGAGCGATTCCGTAGTCAACGTGTAAAGAACAACAACACTAGCTTGAAATTAGAGGCCCGTGTATTTAACGAAGCTAATCATGCTAAATTCAAAGAGCTTATTGTAAGTGAGACCTGGGATGATGCTACCTCCTCAACGTGCGCTGTTGTAGCGCGATGCACTACTGGGTCGCGCGCGCATCAAATAATGCTTCTCGCTTCTCTCGGTAGATCGGCGAGATGCACCACTGTGCCTCACCGAGCTGCGAAGGATTGACATCGTGAATCAACGTGCGCTGATGAACAATACAATTCCATCTATCAAACGTACATGAAACACTACAATACTGCATACCCTCTGAAGCGCGACAGTTCGAGAAGAAAATTCGAAAGAGCTGACCCAAAGCCTTGGATCTTACCCTGGCTTGAGGCGGCATGCAACCGCAAGAAGTTACTTTTTTTTGAAAAAACTATAAATCCATCACAAAAAACTGCGACGTGTATGATAAAAGTCACAACAAAATTATAGTTTAAGACATCCATTTTGCATTGTGTATCCAATATTAGAATTTATGATATGTATTGATTGAATAATTGGTAATAAATTTAACTTTTGTTTTATTAACTTTTGTTTTATTAAAAATGAAAAAGTTTTGTCACAAACATGTGAATCTAGCCAAAGAAAAGTACTATAAGAAAATGTTTGACAAATACCAAAACTGCTCTAAAAATCAATGGAAAATTATCGATGGCCTCCTGAACCGTAACAGAAAAAAGTTCGGACACACCCGTTTGAAGGACGACGATGGCACGATTATAAGCTCCGATCTGGCAGTCGCTGAGAAATTTAACGGCCACTTCTCCGGTATTGCAGCCAGTATCAAGAGGCAAATCGCTGCCCGTCGAACCTTTGACCCAGGTGGTTTCAAGCATTTTCTTAAGGCTTCGTGTAGTAACTCGATGTTTCTTAAGCCTACATCACACGGTGAAGTCCAAAAGATAATATCAGGGCTTAAGAACAAGTCCACACTCGATTGTAAAATTGAGCCATTGAAAATTGCAAACAGCTGCGAAAACTTTACCAGGGCACTAGCTAATGTCATTAACTGTTCGTTCTCCAGTGGTACCTTCCCAAATGCTCTAAAAACTGCGAAAGTCGTTCCTATCCACAAAGGTGGTTCAAAATTGGAAGTAGCTAATTATAGGCTGATCTCTCTTTTGGGATCATTCTCGAAAATTTATGAGAAACTTATGCATGCTCGTGTTTTAGAATTTTTAGATAAGAACGATTCTCTTTTCGAAAATCAATACGGATTTCGGCCAGGAAGATCGTGCGAACATGCACTGCTCAATGCCCAAAATTCTATACTACACTCTCTGAATAAGAAACAAATGTCCCTACTGCTCCTGCTCGATTACAGTAAAGCCTTTGACGTGCTTAACAACATAACATAACATAACATTATAAATAATGCCTCTCTGGGCATCTCAAAAAGAAATTCATAGAAAATGAACACTTTACGTTTGAAACCATATAATTACAAACTTTTTAAAAAATTTAACTAAATACCTTTGATATTAACCTTCTTCCTCTTAGCTACCAATGGATTATCTTTCATCTAACTTACATAACTATTCCTATTAGACACAGACACATCTATCCTATCAAAGATGTCATATGAAAGTTCCCAGTGATGACCAAGCTTATTAGCTCGATATCCATGAAGCCGAAAGGCATCTAATCCCCTCTTGAAACCAGTAACTGACTCACTAGCTTTCACAAGTGGTGGTAGACTGTTCCAATAGCGCAAGACCCTTTGGGCAAAGAAATCAGTCTCATTTGTGGTGAATCTATGAGTCTTTGATCTAGCAGCAACGGTCCTACCAGAACGACCAAATAAATCGGAACCATAACCCACAAAGCCTTCCTGGATCTTGAACATCTCAATGAGATCTCCCTGCGTTCAAGCAGGGTTGTGAGGTTCAGCTTATCCAGTCTCTCTCTGTACGTCATGAGTCCCAATCCATCAATCATACAGGTGAACGATCTTTGAACACCTTCCAATTCAAGAATCAGTGACCAGTTTCCATGCCTAGCCATTGGAGCCCATGCCTGTGAACAATACTCTATATGAGGCTTTACTAAAGACTTATACAAGCCCAGCATAACGCTTTTCTCCCTCGATATAATATTTCTTGTAAGCCAGGCAATGGTACTATTAGCTTTAGCAATGCACTTTCTCACATGACCCTCAAAGTTGAAGCTGGTGTTAAAGACAACTCCAAGGTCCTTCTCGCTTTCAACACATCTCAAAGGCACACCACCAAACAAGTACTGATTCTTAGGATTACAAGAACCAATTTGCATGACCATACACTTATCTACATTAAAATTTAAACACCAACGAGACTCCCAAAGTTCTAGCAACTTCAAATCAGCTGTTAGATTAATAAAAGGATTAACAATCATTTTAACATCATCAGCAAAAAGTTTGATGATAGCTTTGATTCCTTCTGGAAGATCATTTACAAATAAAAGAAAGAGCAATGGTCCCAAAACACTGCCTTGGGGCACTCCTGAAAGTATATACTTAATCTCAGAAAATTCATCTCCTACTTTAACTTTCATAGACCTCCCTACTAAAAAGTTTTCTAAAATACCAATTATCTCCTCAGGAACACCAACATTTCTTAATTTAACTAATAAACGGTGGTGTGGTACGCTATCAAAGGCCTTAGAGAAATCAAAGTATAATATATCAGCACAGCCACCTTCAGCCAGCAAGTCATTGACAGCGTCAATAGACTCCAGTAGGTTAGATAAGCATGACCGACCCTTCATGAAGCCGTGCTGCGTGCTACTAAGCACCTGTTCAACACCATCGAGAATATACTCCCTAAGAAGCTTCTCATAGGCTTTGCATAGTATACAAGTCAGTGACACAGGCCTGTAATTATTAGGACTATGTACTGACCCCTTTTTGTGCAAGGCCACAACAGTGGCAGTTTTCCATACCTCAGGAATATACTGCTCAGAGGCACAGGCACTAAACAGCAACACAACCGCATCCACAAAGGAACTGTTCTCACTTAAATACCTCAGGAGTCTAGGATGAACACCATCAGGACCCATAGCTTTACTAATATCTAGTGATCCCAAAATCTTGGCAACACTTTCAGGGTGCACCATAAATTTACTCCAGAAGTAATCATTATTACATTCTGTATAACAATTTTGAGGCAGAGGGCCAAATGCAAAAGGTTCAGGTTTAAAAACTGACTGGAAAAAATCAGCTAACACTTCTGCCGTTTCAGAAGGAGACTTGGTCTCAGAACCATCATCTGTTTTAAGTCTTTCTACAGATTTTCTTAAAACACTTTTAGATTTAAGGTAATTAAAAAGAGGTTTACAATTTAACTTAAACAATTTAGTCACTTTATTCTCATATTTGATCTTTGCCTTAATCTCAGCGTTCTGGTACATCCGCTGCTCGTACTCGGCTGCGTTAAACATCACCATCGTAGGATCCTCGTCAAAATCCTTCCATGCCCGGTCCTTGCACTTTCTTTTC